TTTTTTTTTTTTTTTTTTTTTTTTTTTTTACACACCTAACTGAGCCTGGCCTTCCCCATGGCTCTTAACTCCAGGGTAGAATCTCCTAGGACCTTGCTGCATCTGCCACTCCCAGGCATGGGATGCTCAAGCTGACTTGCTCAAATTTCCTTTCTCTTGCAATTGAAAGGGGTACCTCAGGCAGATAGGTCAGCAACTATGTGGCAGAATCTTTATGAACCCCTTCTGTGCCTTTGGTACCTTGCCTGAGGCTTAGTCTATTTTACGAATTTCTCTTAGCCTAGAGGTGTCAGTGAGGAGGGTGAGCCACCATAGCTGTGCCAGTGAAACCACCATTGTAGCTGCTGCTTCTGGTTTTTTGAGGAGCTCATGTTATTCTGCAGGAAGCAAAGCTGCTGACAGCTACACCTGTACCAGGGGATCAGGCTGCCACAGCTACAGTGGTAGGGGCAGCAACCCCATAGTATAGATGAAGCCTGATTTAGCAGATCATGGCCTGGTGTGGTTCAGGCAGGTCCTGGGCTAGCTGTTTCAGCCTGGCTCTATCACCAAACTTTCTCTCTGCAGCATCTCCCTACCCTGGTGCTGGCTTTCACTTGAGCAGAGACCATGTTGTACTGTTGAATCAGATTGTAGTGAATGTTTTTTTTTGTGCATGTGGGCTTTGGGTAGCTGTTTAAAGGGACAGGCATGAGACTCCATCCAACTAGCTTTATTTGTGACCAAATTTAATTCTTTACTTTTGCCTCTAGAGGTGACTGGCTGAGGTGCTAGCCCCTACATTATGCTCCCAGCCTGGCTTCCAAAGTATGAAACACTGTCCCCACCCCCTTTTAGAATTTCTTCCTAGGAAGAGCAGCTGGGGGAAGGTTACAAGAGGTCCCCTGATGAGGAAATGGGCTCTTCCTCCTTCTCTCCTCTTTTAAGAACCTCTGCTTCCTTGCTGTCTTCTGTCAGCTGTCTCAGTCTGATTTCCCCAGAGGTTGATTTGTTAAGATCTCTCAGACCTAGATCCACATTAAGGCTCCTACTGTGCTCAAAGGAAGGCCATAGTGGCCATGACCCTGAGGGCTGGATTTGAAAAAATGAGGACAGCTGCAGTCTGGCCTTTCTTCTTTATGGGGGAAGTGGCTTATAAGCTTGAGGGCAGACTGGAGCATGGCACTGAGCAAGGAGTATTACTGTAGAACATTTTGTATTAGTTGGTCTCACTTTAGGCAAGCTGGGGATAGAAGAAAGCCAGTGTCAAACTTGATCAACCACCTGGCTGGTGGGTATCACCTTGGGGCAGTTGATTCTTTGTTTTGGACTAAGGGGATGAATAGGATCACTGATTGGCTTTACTTGCAGGTGGGGTTGCAGGTAGGCAAGGGTTGAATCCAGGGTGCAAATTAAGGCAGAACTTGTGGGGGCTGACCCTG